AATCAATAAATTGGCAAATCTTTAGCTATACTGACCAAGAGAAAAAGAGAGAAGACACAAGTGACTAAAATAAGGAATAAAAGAGAGAACATCTTTACTGGCCTTACAGAAGTAAAAGAGGATTATAAGGAAATACTATTTAAAAAGTTGTATGCCAACAAGTTAGATGACCTAGATGAAATGGACAAATTCCTAGGAAGACACAAACTACTGAAACTGACTCAAAAAGAAATAGAAAATCTGAATAGATCTATAGCAAGTGAAGTGGTTGAATTAGTAATCAAAAACTACCCACAAAGAAAACCCCAGGCCCACAGGGTTTCACTGATGGAATCTACTAAATGTTTAAAGAAGAGTCAACACCAATCCTCCACAAGCTCTTCCAAGAAATAGAAGAAGAGGGAACACTTTGTTCCTCATTTTATGAGCCCAGCCTTATCCTGATACCAAAACCAAACACATCACAAGAAAAGAAAGCTACAGACCAATATCCCTTAAAATATTAACAAACAGAATAAAACTCATAAAAAGAATGATACACATTACAATGTGGGATATATTCCAAGACTATAAGATTTATTTAAAATATGAAAATCAATTAACATAATATGCCATATTAATAGAATAAAGGACAAAAATCATATGATTATTTCAATAGATGCAGAAAAAACAGTTGACAAAATCCAAGATTTTTTCATGATGAAAACAATAAACAAACTAGGAATAGAAGAGAACTTCTTCAACCTGAAAAAGGCCATCTATGAAAAACCCACAGCTAACATTATATTTAATGATGGAAGACTGAATGCTTTCTCCTTAAGATCGGGAACAAGACAAAGATGTCTGCTCTGGCCAAGTCTATTAAACATTTTACTGAAGATTCTAATCAGGGCAATTAAGTAAGAAACAAAATAAAACCGTCCAGATTGTAAAGGAAGAAGTAAAACTATTCACAGATTACATAATTTTGTGTACACAAAATCCTAAGGAGGGGAAACTATTAGAATTAATAAACAAATTCAGCAAGGTTACAGTATATAAGACAAATACACAAAAATCAATTTTATTTCTATACACTAGCAATAACAATCTATAAATGAAATTAAGAAAACAATTATATTTGGAACAGTATCAAAAGAATAAAATACTTAATAAATTTAACAAAATAAGAGCAAGATGCATACTCTGAAAACTGCAAAACAATGTTGAAAGAATTTAAAGACCTAAATAAAATGGAAATGCATCCCGTGGTCATGGATTAGAGGACTTAGTATTGTTGACAGTACTTTCCAAATTGCTCTACAGATTTACATGATCCTTGTCAAAATCACAGCTGGCTTCTTTTCAGATATAAATGAGCCCATCCTAAAATTCAGATGGGAATTTAAGAGACCTAGAATAGTAAACATCATCTTGAAAAAGAGCAAAGTTGGAGGACTCACATTTCCTAATTTCAAAACTTTCTATGAAGCTACAGAAATCGAAACAGTGTATTACTGGTGTAAGGATAGATATATAGATCAATGCAATGCAATTGAGTGTCCAGAAATAAATCTTACATTTATGGTCAATTGTTTTTTGACAATGGTGCTATGACAATTCAATGGGGGAAAATAGTCTTTTCAACAAATGGTGCTGGGACACCATGCTATCTATCCACATGCAAAAGAATGAAGTTGGACACTTACCACACACCATATACAAAAATTAACACAGAGTGGATCATAGACCTAAACGTATGAGCTAAAATTATAAAATTCTTAGAAGAAAGCATAGGAATACCAAGGTCAAGGGTTCGGGTCCTTATACTGGCCAGTGGCCAAAAAAAAAAAAAAAAAAAAAAAAAGATGTATTAGATTTCATCAAAGAAAAAAACCTTCTTGCTTCTAAGAAGGATATCATCAAAAAAGTGAAATGACAGCACAAAGAATGGGAGAAAACATTTCCAAAGCATATATCTGATAATGGACTAGTATCTAGAATATATAAATATCTCTTATAACTCAACAATAGAAAGACTAATAACCCAAATAAAAAGATCTGAATAGACGTTTATCCAACAAAGATATACAATTTCCAATAAGTACTTGAAAAGATTCTCATATCATTAGTCATTAGGGAAATGTAAATCCAAATCACAGTGAGATGCTAATTCATACCCACAAGACTAACTAAAATAAAAAACAAAAATGACAGACAATAAGTAGTGTTGGCTAGGATGTGGAAAAATTGGAACCCTCCTACATTGCTAGTGGGATGGTAAAATTGTGCATCTATTTAAAAAAATAGTTTGTCAGTTCCTAAAAATGCAAAAACGTAGGGCTACCATATGACCCAGCAATTTTACTCCTAGGTCTATACCTAATAGAATTTAAACATCCATTGACACAAAAACTTGTACATGAGTGTTCTCAGTTATTCATTGTTCATATTAGCCAAAAAGTGGAAACAAATGAACGTTCATTGACTGATAAATGGATAAACCAAACATGGTATATCCATATAATGGAATAATATTTAGCCATGAAAAGGAATGAAACACTGACACATGCTACAACATATAATGCTGAATGAAAGAATCCAGACACAAAGGGCCATATATTTTGTGATTCCATTTATATGAAATGTCTGGAATAGACAAATCCACAGAGATAGGAAACACATTAGTGATTTCTAGGAGTTGGGGGTGAGGGGAGAATGCACAGTCATTAGTAATGGGTATGTCTTTTTTTTTCTTTGAGGTGATAAAAATGCTCTAAAATGAGATAGTGGTGATCATTGCACAACTCTGTGAATATACTAAAAATCAGTGAATTGTACAATGTACGATGGTAAATTTAATGATATAATCATTACTATCTATATTATTTATATTCATTATTTATATTTCAGTGATGTTATAAAAATTAGGCTCACTTATTTCTTTTTACCTTTTTAATGTGGCTACTAGAAAATTTTAAATTGCATATGTGGCTCACCATATATTTCTATCAGACAGTGTGTTCTAGACCTTTCAAAGAAGACATAGAGACTGTTAAAAACCATTCTCCTGTACCTATCTGAGGAACTGCACAGCCTTACCGTGACATAAATAATTAAGCCTTTTGTTGGGAGAAATAGCACCTGACATTTGCTTTGGAAGCTGTAAAGTGTTTCATGCACATTATGTCTTTTGGTCCTCACACCCTCCCATGGAGACAGGCAAGAAGAGGTTATTATTCCCATTTGACAGATGGAGATACCAAGGTTCCAGGAATGGGAAGGGACACATCTAGGGCTACAGAACCAGGTAATGTGCCCTGGACTTCAGGCACTGGACCCTAGGTCTCCAGGTCCTTTCTTCCATTAGCCCAATCTTCACTTACACCCCCAATATTTCATGCACAAGCAGCAAGCACCCTTCCGAGCTCTCTCTTGGCTTCATAGTTGATCTGAATGACTGAAGAGGAGAAGTGTGTCAAGGCCCCCATTTCCATCCCATGGGTCACAGTGTTTGCCACAAAATGGCAGGTTGATATTTAGCAGCTCTGCTGTCCTTGACCAGACCAGTAATGCTTTGGTCTTGCCCCTGAGATTCTGATGTAATTGGTCAGGGTTGGAGCCTGGGTATTGGGAATTTTAAAAGCTCCCTTGATGACTCTAATGTGTGTCCAGGGTTGGGAATCATTGTCCCAAACTAGTGGTCTCAAACAAGCAGCTTGAGGGCCAAGTCTGCATCACAGAGGTGTTCCGTTTGGCTCCCACACGTGAGGAATGTATGTTTAAGTTTAGTTTAGTTAAGGTCAAGGTTCAGATCCCTGTTCTGGATGGCCACACACATGTGCGCACGTGCATACGTGCACGTGCGCGCGCACACACACACACACACAAATTAATTTAGTTAACATTTACAAGCACGGAATTTCACATAAAAACCTGGATTTTTGCTTTCTCTTAAGACTGAGAAATTGTGCCTGCACTCCTGCATGGTGACCAGCAGCTGGCGCTGAGCAGTGGCTGCCCTTTGACACAGGCCAGGAGTCCTCCAGTTCCCCACAGTCCACACCAATCCTCATTGTCTCGCCAGCCTACTTCACCTATTTTCGCTATCCATCTAACATCTGCAGGGCTGCCCCAAGCCATTTATTTCCCTTGGAGGCTGGGAAACTGAAGTCTACAGACCAACACGTGCGGGAGATGCAGTCCTCCTTTTCACTGTTGATTGGGCTAAGTGAACTTCTCTTTCTTTCCCAGCCAGAGAATATACTGTGCGTCAATCAGACAGGACACCAAATTAAGATCATTGACTTCGGGCTGGCCAGAAGGTAAGGGGGTTTTATTCTGATATTTTGACAAAACTCCCTGGGGACTCTTTGTGGTTCTCTGGGGCATGGTCACTCCTGGCTCAGCCAATTCTCGAGTTTGTGGACTGACTTGGGAAAGCTCTCACACTCAGAGGATGGTGCCCTTCGACTTGCAAATAGGCCTTGGTATTACTGCAGGGGGTGGCTTTGTGCTAGGGGTTCTGCTTCTCCCTACAAGGCTGGGGAGTTAACTGTACTTCAGACCACCTATCTGAGCAGAAAGAGGAGTGGTGTTCAAAGGGGACTGCTGAATGGGGTGCTGGGCAGCTCCATTCTATTGATTCCCCAGGCCTCTCGGGGCCAGAGTGTGCTGGGCTGTGTGAGGCACCCCTCACCTTCCCTGCTATCCAGAAAATGACTAGGTTAAATACAAAAGCACAAAATGGTGATATAATGACATTACCTGCTGACATGGTGGCAACTCTGAAGATTAAATGAGATGATGCATGGGAAGTGTGACCCCATCCCATGAGGCTGGTTAAGTTCTCAAGTTTCAGTGCATAAAGTGAACATTGTATATAATTACAAAAATATCTTAAAAGTTCCTTAAAATGCTTAAAGTCTAGGGAAGTATAGATAGTTTTACTGTGCAATCCTGTCCAGCTGAAAGTATGGTAATACTGTGCCTCTGCAGGATGTTTGCCACGGCACGCACGCCCAGTTGGGTGGGGTCTTAGTTCTAATAGCAGACCCTTGGCATTTGGGGGGGTGGCCCCCCAAGCCTTCAGGCAGCTACAGGCTAAAAATATGGCAACAGTTGTATGCCCTTCCTCCAGGTTTCTTCCAGAATTGTTTCCTCCAAGAATGACATTTCTATGGGAATCAATTTCTGGGTACATCTTCACACCACGGCTGAATTTTCAACTCTTCCTGAAATTTTTTTTTGTGACCTTGATGGCTGTTTCCCACAGAGAAGTTGTTTGTGTTACTCTGTGGGCCTTCTGGTGTCCTCCACTCCATCCACAAGTGGAAGATAGCAGAGCCTCATCCCCACGGAGGCAGAGCTGCTCCCCCGAGCTCAGCCTCTGGTTTCCAGCATCCGCCTCCCAGGTGGCATGTGAAACCACAATCCCCACGGAGGCAGAGCTGCTCCCCCGAGCTCAGCCTCTGGTTTCCAGCATCCGCCTCCCAGGTGGCATGTGAAACCACAGTGGTGGACCTCCTAGGTCACTCCTCCGCTGGTTGAAGTGTAAATGTTACCTATGTGCAGGGGTGAAAGGTGCATTCTCACTGCCCCACNCACACACACACACACACAAATTAATTTAGTTAACATTTACAAGCACGGAATTTCACATAAAAACCTGGATTTTTGCTTTCTCTTAAGACTGAGAAATTGTGCCTGCACTCCTGCATGGTGACCAGCAGCTGGCGCTGAGCAGTGGCTGCCCTTTGACACAGGCCAGGAGTCCTCCAGTTCCCCACAGTCCACACCAATCCTCATTGTCTCGCCAGCCTACTTCACTTATTTTCGCTATCCATCTAACATCTGTAGGGCTGCCCCAAGCCATTTATTTCCCTTGGAGGCTGGGAAACTGAAGTCTACAGACCAACACGTGCGGGAGATGCAGTCCTCCTTTTCACTGTTGATTGGGCTAAGTGAACTTCTCTTTCTTTCCCAGCCAGAGAATATACTGTGCGTCAATCAGACAGGACACCAAATTAAGATCATTGACTTCGGGCTGGCCAGAAGGTAAGGGGGTTTTATTCTGATATTTTGACAAAACTCCCTGGGGACTCTTTGTGGTTCTCTGGGGCATGGTCACTCCTGGCTCAGCCAATTCTCGAGTTTGTGGACTGACTTGGGAAAGCTCTCACACTCAGAGGATGGTGCCCTTCGACTTGCAAATAGGCCTTGGTATTACTGCAGGGGGTGGCTTTGTGCTAGGGGTTCTGCTTCTCCCTACAAGGCTGGGGAGTTAACTGTACTTCAGACCACCTATCTGAGCAGAAAGAGGAGTGGTGTTCAAAGGGGACTGCTGAATGGGGTGCTGGGCAGCTCCATTCTATTGATTCCCCAGGCCTCTCGGGGCCAGAGTGTGCTGGGCTGTGTGAGGCACCCCTCACCTTCCCTGCTATCCAGAAAATGACTAGGTTAAATACAAAAGCACAAAATGGTGATATAATGACATTACCTGCTGACATGGTGGCAACTCTGAAGATTAAATGAGATGATGCATGGGAAGTGTGACCCCATCCCATGAGGCTGGTTAAGTTCTCAAGTTTCAGTGCATAAAGTGAACATTGTATATAATTACAAAAATATCTTAAAAGTTCCTTAAAATGCTTAAAGTCTAGGGAAGTATAGATAGTTTTACTGTGCAATCCTGTCCAGCTGAAAGTATGGTAATACTGTGCCTCTGCAGGATGTTTGCCACGGCACGCACGCCCAGTTGGGTGGGGTCTTAGTTCTAATAGCAGACCCTTGGCATTTGGGGGGGTGGCCCCCCAAGCCTTCAGGCAGCTACAGGCTAAAAATATGGCAACAGTTGTATGCCCTTCCTCCAGGTTTCTTCCAGAATTGTTTCCTCCAAGAATGACATTTCTATGGGAATCAATTTCTGGGTACATCTTCACACCACGGCTGAATTTTCAACTCTTCCTGAAATTTTTTTTTGTGACCTTGATGGCTGTTTCCCACAGAGAAGTTGTTTGTGTTACTCTGTGGGCCTTCTGGTGTCCTCCACTCCATCCACAAGTGGAAGATAGCAGAGCCTCGTCCCCACGGAGGCAGAGCTGCTGCCCCGAGCTCAGCCTCTGATTTCCAGCACCCGCCTCCCAGGTGGCATGTGAAACCACAGTGGTGGACCTCCTAGGTCACTCCTCCACTGGTTGAAGTGTAAATGTTACCTATGTGCAGGGGTGAAAGGTGCATTCTCACTGCCCCACGTGCTGTTAGTGTAACAGCAGGAGGTTCACATCGTCCCTCTGTACCTTGAGGACCTCTGTTACACAGAGTGCTGTATTTCATGATATAACCCAAACATTCAAAAAAATCACATTCAATCCATAATATAGTTTGCTTAACATTTTCCCAGATAACATCTTGTAAAGTTGGGCTGCCTCCTGCAAGCTTGCACATCTGATGCACTGGAGCAGTGTTTCTCAACCTCTTTTCCATTTTTGCTGCCTGCCCCCCAGTGAGCCTTTTTAGACTTTTTTCACCCCAAATCACTTGGTCCCCCCACTTCATGAAATTTAATCCCACAAATGTACAGTATATCTGTTTATGTACTGTGGCCCTTTGGAGAGCCATAAACCACTGTAGTAAAGATTATTTGCCCCTCAAGAATCAAGTTTCGCCCCCATGGGGCAATACTGTCTTCACTGAGAATGCCCACACTAGTGTATGAAGTACACTCTCAAATGCCAGCTGACCAATTTCCAAATGAGTATTTACAGTGACACACTGTGGATTCAGAGCAAGAAGCAACCACCAGAAGCTCCCGGAGTCAGGAAGGCTTCTCTGAGCAGCTAGAAGGGACGAATGGATAGGATTTGTTATCTGCAGGCAA